ACTTATATATATATTTTTAATAATTTTGTTATATATCTATAATATATTCATTAAAGAAGAAAATAAATTCGGCTAAATTAAATAATAAATATAAACCTTAATTAAGAAATAAAAGCAAATTAGATATATATAAATATTTACTTATGTATTTTCTATTTTTATAATTATATCACATTAATATAAGTGGGTCACTTAATTGATGGCTAAAAGATAAGAGCAATGTTACAATATCGTAAAGAGCAAACTTTTTTTTTAATAAACATGTAACAATAATAAAGCGTGCCTTATCAGCAGTGCACTTGACAAGTGCTAGAATAGGCGTATCCATAGGTGCATATACCTATGTATATATACTTTAAAATATTTACATATGTGTATGTATATTTGAAGGCACGAAAAACAACGAAAACGAATCGAACTATTATATTCTCCGAGCAGCGTTGAAAATAAATTTTCATTGCTGCTCAGTTGAAAAGCGTTGCGCAGCGCTTGCACACGGCCGAACAAAAAACTGTGGCTAAAAAAACACACATTGTTCGCCCTCAAAGAGTAAAAGAGCGGGCGTATACGTAATGCAACGTATACGCAATATGCTCTTAACGCACGCCGAGTGTGAGCAGATCTTAAAGAACATGGTGAATGCAACAGAAGAGGAGTTGCAGCTATTGGACTATCGACTGGCAAGGGATACATCAGCTGTGGGCTATCTGGGAGATTATTATACGCTGACACTGAGCTATTGCACTGTGAGTGAGTTGATCGATTGAAACAATTGCTGTGATTATTGTCACAGTGACTTTTCATTGAACTTGGCATGTTTAGCATAAGATTATTTATGACTATATATATATATAAGAGAGAAATATACTAGGCGAAATAAGTTTCTCTTTGATTAAATATTTTCAAAACATTTATATGCTAAAAAAATGTACATAAAATATAAAATTTATTTGTAAATTAAGATCATAAAAAATTCTATAAAACCATTTATTTTTTAGCTTTAATTTATGCGAAAAAATATTTTTTATATTTTTAAACGTAATAAAATCATTGCCTACTTTCAGGCGGACACTAATATTCTTCAATCTCGAGAACTTTTTGTCAAAGCGCTGCCACAGCTCAGCGATGAGATGGAAAAAGAGGCAATTTTTCGCAAAGAGGCGTGGCTATATGATACCCTGCTAACAAATATGCAAAAATATTGTTCGCCATCAAATAATCAACATCTAGAATAGAAATTAATTTGTGACTCTTTACAGCCAAAATCAAATGGAGTGCCAAATGTTTTTATACTCGGCCGGATCTCATTGTGCTGGAGAACATCAAGCTAGCTGGTTATCGAGCTGCCGCTGAGAAGCTGTTGAGCGAGACGCAACTGCAGCAATTGCTACGCAGCATGGCTGCATTTCATGCGTCTAGTTTGATTTACGAGCAGCGCCAGAGCTTTAGTATTGGACGCGAGTGTAGCGAACGATTGCAGGAGATTACAGTCGCATCCAATATAGCCTGGTTTACCACTGGCATATCTGCTGTTCTAGATGTGATTAAGAGTCTGCCGCAGTATCAGGCGAACAGTTGGATTGATCAACAGTTGGCCAAGTTGGTGGACCGAGTTTATGAACAGGTTTCACCCTCGACGAAATATCGGAATGTGCTCTGCCACCGTGATCTATGGGCAGGCAATGTTCTCTTTCCAGCTGATCCGCAGGATGCAGTTATACTAGTTGACTATCAGACCTGTCGCTATAGTCCACCAGCTATCGATTTATGCTTCTGCCTGTATTTAAATTTATCAAGCACCGAGCGACAGCGTCTCGAATCGAAAAGCCTTGATTTGTATTACAATTGGCTGCAGCAGAGCTTGCAGCACTTTGGCTTGCGATCAGATGAAATAATATCCAAAGAGGAGCTGCTGCAGTCCTACGAAGAGTTTCGTCTCTTTGCTACGGTCTACAGTGCTGTGGCGGCCACAATTATCAAGGTGCCTCCTTCATTCGTGACGAACGAATTCAAATACATAGATCGCAGCGCTGTGATAATGAAACATATGAGAGAGAATGCAGTATTCGGAGACGAAATGGAAAAGTGCTGTATCGAAGTCGTTGAAACTGCTATGAATACTTTATAGCTGCTTCTCTCTCTCTCTCTCTCTCTCTTTTTCTCTTTCTCTTTTGTTTACACTTTACACTCTCTTCTCACACTAATTCAATAGAAAAACATGATAACTTATCGTAAATAGTAAACTGAAATACAACTCATATAAACAGCACAGCACACCGATGCTTTTATACACTAAATGATGATTATTATTATTGGCCTTTGTGCAAATTAATTTCAATTTATAAAATTTATTATAATGGAAAATGAGAATACATACTGTGTATTGTGCATGCACTACATGTAGTTAGAAGTATTTTTTTTTTTTCTAT